CATTCTCTGCATAGCGCATTCCTGAACCCTGCAGTCTGTACATAACACACTCTTGAACCCTGCACATAGTGCACTCCTAAGCACTTTACTCTGTATGCAGTGCACTCCTGAACTCTGCCATGTGCAGTATTTAACAATGCTCCATTAAAACCCTCCCTCTGTTAGGCAGTGGGGCGGTGGTAACATGGTTGAGTTCCTGCACCTATTCCGTTAGGGGAAAAAAAGCCCTGGTGGACTGTCCCGTACCACCTGGACACCCAATCAGCCAGCCAGGGCTTCTGCTAGCTGATCATAGAGGTGGACAAAGACTGGAGCCACTCTGTCTGCCTATAGGAAATGGGAAGCAATGAGCATGCATCACCACTTATTTCCCGGGCACCATTTTTAAAAATGGAAAGCATTTGATCACACCTATCTTGGTGTGTTCAAATGCTTTAAGGGCATAGGAGGTATCTGGGGTCTTGTTAACCCCAGATTTCTCCATAAAGAGTACCTGTCACTGCTTATTGCTGTCACAAGGGATGTTTAAAAAAAAAATATATAACATACATACAACTAAACTATATATAACTACAAAACAAATGTTTAAGTCGCCATAAAGCCCCAGACATTCCTAAAAGCACCTCTGCCTAATAAACCTCAAACCTTCCTATTTTCCAACCTGGGGAAAATATAATTTTTTTTAATTAGGACAAGTAGATTGTCATGAGGGACATGTAGGTTGGGACCCCGATTTTAGTTCCTTGTACAAGTCATTTAGTTCCTTGTACAAAAAAAACAAAAAACAAAAAAAGAAACATTTAGTTCCTTGTACAAGTCGTTTTTTTTAAAACCTTTCCACACTCCTGTATTGTAATATAAAGTAATTCATATGCCCCAAAAATACAAACATTTCTGTTTTTCTATCATTTTTGGGTTGAAGTATTCCCTGTCACGTGACCACAATCCCCCTACTTTGTGAAACAAAAGTGTGTGTGTGTGTGTAGAGCTACGAGTGTCACTTCAGGGAGACTGTTCCCTGTCAGAGCTCACTCATGATTCTGCATGCTCTCTCGTGAGAAAGATGATCATGGATGGGGCTGGCCAGGGCGAGGCAGTCTGGCAGCATCCGATAACACAATTAAGCTGGCCATACTTTATACAATTTTCTTATTCAATTTCCTTTAGATTTCCCTTCAACTATGTAGTGCAAGAGCCTGCCTGATGATTGCATACAAATTGAAAGTATTTAGGCTTGACCTCCTATTATATGGTTTTGGTAAAACTAAAGGAAAATTGTATAATGTATTGCCAGCCTTAGGAAGTGTCAATGAGCAGCGCAATCGGCTGCACAAATCAACCATTCTTAGTCACATCGAGGCGGGTGCTGAATGGCTTGGTTAGATGGTTGTTTCTAATCAGCCATTTAGCATTCCAGAAAGTGCACAAAACAAATGTTTAGCAAATTAATGGGTAGATTTTGATTTTTGACTGAAATTCTGCTTTAATGCAGGAAATGCATTAAAGCAGAGTTCCAGTGAAACTGTAAAATATATAGTCAGCAGCTACAAAAACAACAAACAGATACTCTCCTGTCCCTCGATCCCGCGGTGTCCTCCCTGCAGCCTGTTTCACTGGCTGTACTGTGTTCCTGGCATCTTCAGTGTGGGCACCAGTCTGTGACAGCTTGTGGCTTCACAGCTACGTGCCCACTGCACATGGGCAAATAGCACTGCACTTTCTGACTGGTCCTGTAGTCTTTTGGGACCTGTCATTTGTTGCAGAAGACTATGGGGAGGGAGGGCAACTTCCGCTTCCCATCTCCTAGGCGATCTTAGCAGGTACCTGTCAATTTTAGTTACCCGCTCCTCAAAGGTGCCAATCCTTAACGTGGGGGCGGGGGACCAGTCCTTAAAGCAGAACTTTCCTATTTGGGTAAAGCTCCGCTTTAAGGTTAAAAAAAAAAACCCAAGTCTTTACAACCACTTTAGCAAGCAGCTTTAAGGAGCTTTAAAACAAACCTTCACTGGCCTCTCTACCTGCTTGTAATTTAAAGTAATTAATTCTCCAAGATCACAGTTGGTTTTCGTTCAGTTTATAACAGCTTAGAAACATCTGCCGTTTTCTTTAGAAAGCAATACAAGGTAATGAAGTGTAGGTGCTGTGCTGTTTATTCAGAATAGCACACAAATGCACCTTGTCAGTGCAATTGTGATGTGCTTCCCTGCTGAGAATACTGCATGCATAATTTTCATTCAATTGTGGTGTGTTGAGCAGCTCATTCAAATGAATGAGCTCTATTGTGAACTTTTTAGACTGATGTTCAGTGTATGAATATTTCCTAGTCACCACTTAAAGCTATCAGGTTGGGGAGTCTAAAGAAAATTGTGTAAACGTTCAACTGAATGTCCTGCCCCAATGCGTGTTAATGTACAGTGGGGAAAATAATTATTTGATTCCCTACATATTTTGTAAGTTAGCTTACTTACAAAGAAATGAAGGGTCTATCAATTTTATCGTAGGTATATTTTAAATGATGGAGACAGAATATCAATCAACATTCCAGAAAAAAAACACATAATGCAAATGTTATAAATTGAGTTGCAGTTCAGTGAGTAGAATAAGTATTTGATCCTCTACCAACCAACAATATTTATGGCTCCCACAGACTGGCTATGTGCTCATGTGGTACGCAAATTAGTCCTGTCAATTTAAGAAGGTGCTCCTAACGATAACGTATGTGTAAAAAGACACCTGTCCACAGAAGCTTTCTTCCATTCAAACCACCATGGGCAAGCCTAAGGCTGGTCATACATGGGTCAAAATTTGTTTTTTTTTTTTTTTTTTTTTTTTTTTTTTTTTTTTTTTTTTTTTTTTTTTTTTTTTTTTTTTTTTTTTTTTTTTTTTTTTTTTTTTCCGATTTTTTTTTTTTTTTTTTTTTTTTTTTTTTTTTCGCCCGATAATCGGACTTAAGTATAATTGGCCGATTTTCGCTCTGTAAGTGGTTCAATGGAACCGGGCAATTTTCGTGGTCCCCCCCCCCCCCCCCCCCCTTTTCGGTGATAGGGCATCTCGGAAAATTCATGAAAAAACAACCGATTTTCAACTCAATGATGGCCAAATTGTACAAAAATTTTTCCTTAAAGAATATGCGCTTGAGCCGTGACCTGGAAGGCACAGAAGTTTTGCCTGTTATATGGGGTGAACTTTATGACTTGGTCGGCCGATTTTTTAAAATCATTGATGGCACCATCGGATTTCCGAGCGAATTACATTTTCGAACAAAAAATAGTTTGGAATTCGAACCATGTATGGCCTGCATTAGAGCTGTCAATGGATGTTAGAGACAAAATTGCAGACCTGCACAAGGTTGGAATGAACTACAAGACCATCAGCAAGAAGCTTGGTGAGAAGGAGACAACTGTTGGAGCGATTATTCGCAAATGGAAGAAATACAAAATAACCTTCAATCACCCTCGGTCTGGAGCTCCATGCAAGATTTCGCTTCATGGGGTTAGGATGATCATGAGAAAAGTGAGGGATCAGCCCAGAACTACACGGGAGGAGCTTGTGAATGATCTCAAGGCAGTTAGGACCACAGTTACCAAACAAACCATTGGTAACAGAATATGCTGCCATGGATTGAAATCCTGTAGTGCCCACAAGGTCCCCCTCTTTGAGAAGGCACATGTACAGGCTTGTGTGAAGTCTGCAATGAACTTCTAAATGATTCAGAGAAGGATTGGGAAAAGGTTCTGTGGTCATATGAGACCAAAATTGAGCTCTTTTGGCATTAACTTCACTCGCCGTGCTTGGAGGAAGAAAAATGCTGACTATGACCTTATGAACACCCTCCCTACAGTCAAGAACGGAGGTGGAAACATGCTTTGGGGATGTTTCTCTGCTAAAGGTACAGGCCGACTTTGCCACATTGTGGGGCCAATGGTCGAGGCCATGTACTATAAAAACTTGGATAAGAACCTTCTTCCCTCAGCCAGAACACTGAAGATGGGTCATGGATTTGTCTTCCAGCATGACAATGATCCAAAATATACTGCGAAGGCAACAAAGGAGTGGCTCAAGAAGAAGCGCATTAAGGTCATGGAGTGGCCTAGCCAGTCTCCTATAGACATAGTTCTATACAAATTTATGGAGGGAGCTGAAACTTTGAGTTGCCAACTGACAGCCAAGAAACCTTAAGGATTTAGAGAAGGTCTGTAAAAGACCAAAATCCCTCCTGAGATGTGTACAAACCTAATAACTAACTACGTCTTACCTTGCGCTTGCCAACAAAGGTTTCTACACCAAGTATTAAGTCATGTTTTGCTTGTGGATCAAATTTTACTCACTGAACTGCAACTCAATTTAGAACATTTTGTATTGTGTTTTTTTCTGGACTTTTGGTTGATATTCTGTCTCTATATTTAAAATACACCTATGATAAAATGTATAGACCCTTCATTTCTTTGTAAGTGGGCAAACTTACAAAATCTGTAGGGGATCAAATAATTTCCCCACTGTACATGTGTTAACGCACTGTGTATTGGGCTGGTGTGAATGGGCCCTAATGGTGATGGGAAAAAAAACTAAGACTTCTTTGGCTCTCTTATGCACTTTGAAGAGATATCTCAACAATGCCGGTAACTAGGGATGTGAAATAAGGATTTGTTTTAAGTGTTGTTTTTTTACTGCTTGATTGGAATAATTTAAATACTTTAATGTGTGTAGTCTGAAAACAGGTTCACTTTAAGTTGTAAAGCATAAATGCAGTCTTCTGTTATATATATATATATATGTGTGTGTGTGTGTGTGTGTGTGTGTGTGTGTGTGTGTGTGTGTGTGTGTGTGTGTGTAACAGGGTTCAAACCTACAAGACAGATTTCACAAATCTACCACATTTTGACAACATTTAGCTTATTATCAGGTTGTAGTTACACCGTAAATACTATTTTGTGAACTGTGCTCTTCTAGTAGCAAAGCATTGTTGGGCTAATAAGATGTATTGATTTCATTATACTCCAGGCTTCCATCTTGTCAATTCTACTGTGACAGAAATGGATAGCATCGTTTGTAAACACGAAGGAGAGCATATCCTTATGCCAGGACTAGAACTAAAGGTAAATAATCCAACTGAATCATTGATGAAATAATGTTATTTATTAACCTGCAACATATCCAAAAACACCTGTTTTAGACAAATTCATAAACATCACAATTTAATAGCAAAATCAAATATGGAAACTCCATCTTATATTTAGGTCTTTATTCCAATGTTGTTTAAACATTAAAAACCAAGGACGGAATGCTTCATTAAAAATCTCTTATATCACATGCCACCTCTACGGAGCTGACCCATCATATTTAGTTAACTAGTAACAAGAGTATTGAATGTTGCATAACATTCCTTTTGACAAAATAATTGCTTATGAATGTATAAATAAGCCTTTTAGAAGGGCTATACTGCTTGTCCTGGGCATCACTGTTCTAGATTCCAAGGCTGAAAATGAAAAGTGGCCACATCAATTAAAGGCTAGGTTCACCCCCCGTCAGGCCGAATTGCTTTCACACAGCCTACAGTTACAGCCTCTGCACCCCCATTTCCCCCCCACCGTGTGAACCTTCCCCCGCCAGCTATGTCTCCCAGGCTCCGCTTGCCCATCTGTGAGCCTGGGAACGGTTCACTGCCGTCGGCTAGAGGGGAGGTAGGAGAGCGGACACGTCCACTCCCCTCCCCTTGTCCTGACCTGGAAGTGATGTTATGATGTCACTTTCCAAGTCCCCGTTGAAGGATTTCCCAGCCATCGAGGCCAGGAAAGAATGTAATGCAGTGCGATGTCTACTGCATTACATTCAGTGGAGTACATGGGGAGACATCCAGGGTGTCTCAATAAAGAGAACCTGTCACCAAAAATCATCAAATGGGGACAAAATGTCCCCTATGTGATGAAATAAAAGGGGAAAAAAAAAACAACTTTTTTTTCTTTTACAATTGTAAAAAAATGGTTACAGCCAAGCACATAGCATTCCCTCAAGAAAAAAAATTGAGGCACCCCCACATATACACACGTACAAATGTAAAAGCACATGCTGGGGTGCCTATGCATGAAAGTGTTGATTGTGATACACATTACATATCCCTGCGCACGCCAGAATGAGCGAAATAATTCTAGCATGGGATATCCTCCATAACACTATACTGGTGACCTATAAGGGTTTTTAAAATTTAAGGATTGACATGTTGGATATCTATTTACTCGGTGTAACCTCCATCCTTTATATTTTACAAAAAAATAGGGTAATTTTATAGATTTTCTTTTTTTTTTTTTTGTGCCCTAAAATTAACTTAAGTGTATTTTTACTGAAATGTTGCGGTAATATGCGACATAAAAATTTGGCAGCCAAAGGGATAGAGGATAAGCTCGACACTCCCCTTTCCTGAGAAGCACCCAATCAGTGCTCATTACACTGCAAGGTCTCGATCCTCCCTGCTAGTCCCTGGGTGCGTTGCTGGAGCTAGGCAGAAAGGTGAGGAGGAGATAAACAGCGCAATGTTAAAAATATTAAACATTTAAGTCGCCACAAAGCCCTTTTTTGTTTTTAAAAGCCCCAGACATTCCTAAAAGCACCTCAGATTTAAATACGGTTTTGGTTTTTATCAGGACAAGTAGATTATCTTGAGGGACAAGTAGATTGAAACCCCAATTTAGTCCCTGCACAAGTAGTTTTTTTCAAAAATTTCAACACCCGTTTCACACTTTTGACATAACTGTACTAAAATTAAATTTTAATCATTTTTCTTTAACCACCATCCGCCCACCATATAGTACAATGACTGGCGCAAGGTGTTTCTCTCGTTCTGATAGGACGTCATATGACATCCTTCCATTGTCACCACGCATGCGCGGCTCAGGGAGCTCGCAGCGCGGCGATCGCCTGTGCGCTGTGTCCCTCGGACACAGTGGATCATGGAAAGAGCCGAAGATGTCGGCTCGGTTATGTGATAAGCTGTGTCCAATCACAGCTGATCACATGTAAACACGGAAATGCCGGTTATCGGCATTTCTCTCCTCTCGAGCTGTCACGCTGACAGCTCGAGAGGAGAGGAGAGCCGGTAATCGGCTTTCCGCGGAGGGGACATGTACACTGATCATCAGGGCACTGATGATCAGTGTGCCCTGATGATCAGTGTGCCCCAAAAATGCCACCTGTCAGTGTCCATCAGTGCCAGCAGTCAGTGCTCATCAATGCCACATATCCGTGCACATCAATGCCACATGTCAGTGCCACCTATCAATGCCAATCAGTGCCAGTCAGTGCCGCCTATCAGTGCCATATCAGTGTCATGTATCAATGCTGCCTTTCAGTGCCCATCAGTGATGCCTGTCAATGTCCATCAGTGCAACCTATCAGTGCCACCTATCAGTGTCCATCAGTGCCCATCACTGCAGCTCATTCATTAGTGGTTTTTTCAGTGGTTTTTGGTTTGTTTAAGAAAAAAAAAAAATTCCAGAGGTTATACCACCAAAAGAAAGTTTCTATATGTCAAAAAAAAAATGATAAAAATTTCATATGGGTACAGTGTTGCATGACCGCGCAATTGTCATTCAAAGTGTGACAGTGCTGAAAACTGGAAATTGGCCTGGGCAGGAAGGGGGTGAAAGTGCCCTGTAGGCCAGTGGTTAAAGACAAATAGAGCTTTATTTTGATGGTATTTAAATCTCTCTGGGGTTTTTATATTTTGCCATATAAATGAAGAAATACTGAAAATTTTGAAAAATTCATTTTTTTTTTCTTTGTTTTATAAAATTTTACAAATCTTTTTTTCATAACTTTAGTACAAAATGTGTTCTGCTACATTTCTGTGACAAAAAATAATCAGTGTTTCATAACAGAGTAGGAACATTATTTAGTCTTTGTGAAAGTTATAGTCTACAAACTATGGTGTGTGTATATGTGTGTGTGTGTGTGTGTGTGTGTGTGTGTGTAAATTAATCAGTCCTGATGTGCTGATTGCCTATCTCATTTTTTTTGAGGCCCTGAAATGCTAGGAAAGTACAAATGACCCCTTTTTTTGGAAAGTAGACACCCAAGGGATTTAGTAAGAGGCATGGTGAATTTTTTGAAGTTGTAATTTATTTTCCCACAGGTCTTTGGAAAATTGTTGGCAATTTAGAAGATATTTCTCACACACAGCATAGGCATACTTAGAATTACAACCCAAAACACATTTTACTACTCCTGAGTATGGTGGTACCATATGTGAGACTTTTGCACAGTCGAACCACAGAGAGGTTGAAAATCCAAGGAGCGCCATTAGACTTTCCAGAGGCATACTATATATCACACATCAAATTTCCTGATTTACCTATCACATTTCTGAAGGCCCTGGAGCAAGCACCAGGACAGTAGAAATTTCCACAAAATGACCACATTTTGGAAAGAAAACACCCCAACATATTTTATAAAAGGCACAAGGAGTCTTGAAAATTGTCATTTTTCGCCACTCTGCGACACTGCGAACAGGCACTTTTTTTTTTCGTTATCTACCAATAGGGGAGGTAACTTTTTTAATTTTTTTTAAATTTGATACAGTAATAGCGCTACTTCGTAAAAGAGGTGCACATGTCTCTGAAAATTACCAAAATGGGCAGTATGGATTTTTTTAAATCTGGCGCTTTTAAAGCTCCATAGCATCAGAAAAGTGTTGATGGTGCTTTATTCAATTCCCCTGACACTATTCACTTTTGAGATTACTCCTGTTATGTCTATTTTTTTCCTGCTTGTAAGATTACAGTAAACAACTTTTTTGTGAATTCATTGCGACTTGCATTTGAGTTCTGTTAAGTGACGTTGCACACCACAATGAATTCGCACATAAAAGCCGCACTGGTGTGAACTAGGGCTAAATACTTGAATGGAATATGTAGTCTTTATAGATTACTTTGCTTTAGGAGGTCTAGCAGAGTCCTGTACCATGCTAGCATCAATCAATGTAGAACGTTTGTAGTTGAAATTATTCCTTTTATTGGCTAACCCAAAGTGCACCTGCCCAACCTATGAGCATTAAAGTACTTGCATATTTTTAACATGCAGTAAAAGAGCTTTAAAGCTTTCATGATTGGTAGATAAAACAAAGTAAAGTACACATATATCTTGCAACTACTTAGTGGCTGATTTTGTAAAATTTTAAATAAAGTGCTTTGTTAATTTCTCAACATTCATGCAAGAGTTACAAATAATTTTCATTGCAATATGTTTAATGGTTTCCTTCTTGCCTTTTGCCAAGCAAATGTAACAGCCCTACTATTCGATCCCAAAGGAAAAATAGCTTAAGAACATTCAACCAAGAGAGTTAATAGGCTAAGAACGTTCAACCAGCAGTAGAAGATGTGAGGAAGATCTGGACAGTGTACAGTTTTAACTACTTCCCATTTGCCCATTGAACATAAATGGCAGGATGGGAGCTGTGCCTTTGCAGGTTGACATACCCGTATGCCATCACACAGCAGAGGCTTGTCGGAGTGCACACATGGGAGCCCGGTGATTAGTGTGCCCCCGGACACAGCAGATCGCATTACTACTGTGGGTGATCACATGATCTTTTGCCATGTGATTGCTGTGTCCAATCACATGGTGTACTTGGCAAACTGAAAATAAACATTGGATCTCTCTGCTCTCAAAGAGATCAGCTGTGAGCACAGAGAGAACCGTTGCTGCAGCCTGTGAGTGTACAGCAACCTGTCACACTGCATGTAAACTGACTGCAATGGCAGCCTGTCCAGTGTCCCTCATCACTGCCCCCAGTGTAGTACAAATAAATAATGCAGCCAGCCCCTGTCACCTGTCACCAGTGCTCACAGTTACACCACCATACACTATACCAGCATCCTGATCACCACAGTACGCTATACCAGCGCCCTGATCGCCACCATATGCCATACCAGCATGCTGATCACTGTCATATGGGCATAATGATTGCCAGTGTCCCAATCAATGCCGTACCCCATGCCAGCATCTCGATCACCACCATACCATTACGAGTGTCAACAGAGCCGGTGTCCCCAATTGTTTCCACTGTCCTGGTTTTCCAGGGCCTCCAAAAATGTAATAGGAAATT